CTTTCCTTCCAGCTCCTGTCACCCCTGGCAGATGACAAATGTGGCCCCTTCCTTTAGCCACTGACCCCTTGTTCTGCCCTGGGCTGCTGAGTTCAGCAGAGTTCCTTGAGGTGGTGAGAAGGAAGATGTTCGAGGCAGGGCTGCCTGGAGTGGGGGGCTCTCTCCTGTGAATCCCTTCCTGTGAATGCTGGAGCTGTCCCAGCTCTGTGCTGCGCCCTGCAGCAGAGCTCTTCTAAACCACCCAAACAATTCACTTCTCAACTGCTGCATAGCGTTTGGTGATTCGTGTCTAGGGACGTGTTTGAAGACTTCTGACCTTAGGGCCACTGGAGAAGCAACACTCCTCCTGCTGCTGGCCCTCACCCCAGGCAGGGCCATGGAATTCCAGCAGGATGGAGATGCAGGAGAGGAAATAGCCACTGCTGGGTGTGCTGTGACAGCTGTGTGCCTTCAAACAGCTAAACTCCACATCGTGATTCCTCTTCTAGCGCTCCTTACACAAGAATATCTAAAAAACCAAAAATCCATGTCCTGTGCTAAAGTATGTCATATTTTCTCTGCAGAACAGACCATTATGAGGAATATTCAGCCCGGTGGTTTGTGCAACGGCTGCCTAGCGCTCCACCTGCACACAGCGCCTGCTGCAGCTCCCACCCAGGGCAGCAGGGGCACAGCAGCATCGTGCTGGGACAGCTGGGGCAGCAGGGAGCCCTGCACAGACCTACGACCCCATGACCCCCCACCCAGCCCGAACTCACCCATACTGTCTCCGAAGGGACCCTGCAGGGCAGAAGCTGGGCGGATTTGGCCTGTGGGAGGGGTGTGCGGCCCAAAAGTTATAGGGCTCTGCGGGTAAGGGGGTGGGAGCACGAGACCCAAACCGCAGCACTTGTCCCGTGGTCTGTGACAGCACTTTGTGCCTTGTTTGCTCTTCATCGTGAAGTGACGTGTCCTTGGGCACAGAAGGCTGTGTCTCACGGAGGTGAAGAGCTTTCTTCAGAAGCAAAGCAAATAGCAAGTTGCCCATGAGGCAGTGCCTCGGAGCAGCTCCGATGTAGGCAGCCCCCGTCCCCCACCTCCCCCCACTGCTCACAGGGTTTCCCCAGGGAACTGTGTCCTCTGAGCACCTGCCAGCGTTTCAGCACATAAGTAAACACCCTGATGGCGTTCCTCTCCCAGATGGAAATCAAATCTCAGGGCATCAATTGCTCTCTCCAGAACAGGCGTTGAGCCCAGCAGCCATGGGGAGCCCACCTTGGCCCTCAGGAAAGAGGCACTGGAGTGCTCCTGGCAAGCAGTGCTTTTTTCATCTAAGCACCACATTTCAAAAAGTCCCACTCCAGCAGCACAGCGCTACTGTTGTGCAATCTGTGCTGTGCTCTGCCGGACTCACTGCCCCTGCAGCTTTGGGAACCGGGGTGAAATGAACATGGAATAATCTCAGTCCAAGCCTCTCTCTGTAAATAGGACCACTTACAACATGGATTTCTTCAAGAAAATTCTAGTCAGACCTTTTTCTGTGGATTGGTACTGTAGAGAGAAAAGCAGACTTCGTGGTCTGCACAGCCTGGTGGGTGCAGAGTGTGGAGCCCAGCTGTTTTCAGGGGTGCTGGGATAAGAAGCAATGGATCTAAGTTAGAACATGGGTAATTCAAATTGGGGACTATCTACAGCCTGAAGTTGGTCACATACTAGAACAGGTATGCAGAGAGGCTGTGAGTTTTTCCTCCTTGAAGGTTTTCAAGTGTTGACTGGATGAGGACATCACATTGTAGATCTGCATTGAGCAGAGGGGTCAGACTGTCACTTCCAACCTAAATGAATACATGAATGCTGTGATTCTGCAGTTCTGGAGGTCCACAGGGCAGGATGAGAGGCAACAGACACAAGGGAAGGAAGGGAAATTACAATTAGATTAAGAAAATATCATCCTGAGGCTCTTCAAACACTAAAAATGAACGGAACAAAACAGAAAAACAGGTGTGGAATCTCCATTCCTTGACATGTTCACAACCAACCTTGACATGACCCCAAGCAGCACATTCTAAATCATTGAACTATAAAAAATCATCTGGGTTGGAAGGGACCCCTAAAGGCCATCAGGTCCCACTCCCTGCAGTGCACAGGGACCCCCACAGCTCCATCAGTGCTCAGAGCCCCTGCAGCCTGACCTTGGCTGTCTGCAGGGATGGGGCACCATCGCCTCTCTGGGCAACCTGTGCAGTGCCTCACCACCCTTAGTGTACAAATCTTCATCCAATCTAAATCTAGTTTGAAACCATTTTCCCTTGTCCTGTCACAACAACCCCTGCTAAAGACTCTGTCCCCTTTCTTACAGCCCCTTTAGATACTGAAGGCCGCCCTCAGCTCTCCCCACAGCCTTCTGTCCATGCTGCACAGCCCCAGCTCTCAGCCTGTCCTTGCAGGGACATGTTCCATCCCTAGGATCATTTTTCTGGCTCTCCTCTGGATGCACTCCAACAGCTTCACGTCTCTCCTGTGCTGAGCACTCCCCATCTGGACGCGGTGCTCCAGGTGAGGTCACAGCACAGAGCAGAGGGGCAGATCCCCTCCCTGCCCTCCTGGCCACACTGCTCTGGGTACAGCCAGGGGATGGTTGGCTTTCTGGGCTGTGAGGGCACACTGCTCGTGCCCAGCTGCCACCCACCGGTACCCCCAGATCTTTTTGGCAGAGCTGTGCTCCATCCTTACACCCCATAGTGGGGGTTGCCACAACATAGCTGCAGTTGCACTGGATTTATTGAACCTCATGTGGTTCTCCTGGACACACGGCTCAGCCTGTCCAGGTCTCTCTGGACAGAATCCTATCCCTCAGGCATGTCGAGGTGTCATCCAAAACTGCTGAGCGTGCACTCAAAGCACTGTCAGTGTCATTGATAGAGATATTTAAGAGCACCGGTGGCAGTATTGACCTCTGAAGGACCCCACTCAACACGGATCTCCATAAAGCATCCCTGCCCTTTTGTGGGAGTCAGACCAGCAACATTCGAAACTCATCCTACTCTTGGTTACCCCTTACCTCTCCAGTTCCCTGAAGAGCACTGCTTCCTCTGCCCTGCATGTACAGCCATGGCACCAGGCCGTGTGTAAGATACAGAGCTGGCTGCATCAGAACATGCTCTGTGGTCACTTTATGGGCATGAAGAGCTACGGCAAAAGCTAGGGGACACAGTCTGATGGCATGTGAAGCACGGCAGACCTGCACAGCCAGGTGCAACTTGCTTCTTTTGGGATTAACTGCTGGTGTTATAGTCCCGAGTATATCAGTGTGCTCTGATGGCCAACCAGCCCCACCTGCGGCCTTCTCTTGGACCAAGCCATAGAATCACGGAATCATAGACTTCTTACTGTTCAAAAAGACTTCCATAATTGCCAAGCCCAACCTCAACCCACCCCTACCACGCTCACTGACCACCAGTGCCACATCTCCACGGCTTTGGAACACCCCCTGGGACGGTGACCACACCACCTCCTTGGGCAGCTGTGCCACTGCACCACCACTCAGAAAAGAAATTGTTCCTAGTATCCAACCCAGCGCCATCCGACATGGCACTGCCCATCAGTACCACTGTGGCCTCTGCCCAGCTGCCTTACCTCTACTTTTCCTTCATTGTGGCAAAATGGGAAGGATCATCTTTTTCTCTGAAGTATCTGGCTTGTAGATGAAGTAAAGCCCAACTGTTGTTCAAAGGAAGGAAGACTCGTACTGTCTTCCAGGAGCAGTGGGTCCCTATGGCCCATTTCAGCTCAGTCCTACACCTCCAGCCCTGGGCTCTGGTCCCATCCTCTGCCTTTGCTTTCCAGATAGGTCTTAGACCTGCACTGTGCTTTTCTGCTGGATGGACCACTCAGTTCCATGTTGTCGCATGTCTCCAGTCCTCATGTCATTCTGCCCAGGATCCTGGCTTTGGTTAGTCAGCCAGGCTTCCTTGCCTGGGGCTGTTGCCACACTCAGCTGCCTGCTGTGCTCACCTCTTTGGTAAGGACACTGCTTTCACGCTTCAGCTCCTGGCTAGCCTCAGCTCCAGGCTGTGCTGCTCCCCAGGAGATAGCTCCAGCCTTCCTTCTCCTGCCTCAATTCCTGCATTGTACCACAGGCTTTACACAGTGCACTACTTGGCAAGAGTTCCTGCAGGACAGAGTTTGGTGGGAGCCTTACGTTGGTGCTGGTTGATGGTGCACATCAGGTTTAAAGCTATGCATCAAAGAAGATATGCCAGTTCAATACAATGCTGAAGCCAATACTTGGCATCCAGGACAAGAAAGAAGAAGTGCTACTTCTTCACCTGGTTAAATTAGCATGACAAAGCCTATGCTTTCTGGCCCCAAAGCAGCCCCCGTGGACTCCCACCCTTGGAGCATTTTGCCACACTCCTGGCTGGCATTTCTGGCACTGCAGGGCCTTGCCAGGCCAAAGACCAGGCTTGGGAAGAATGGGAAATGGACCCACAGGCACCAGCTTGTCACCTGCAGCCCCTGCCCGCTGCTCAGATCATGCAGGCTGTGGTGCCAGAAGAAGTTGCACATGCAGTGACTTCTGGCTGCTGGATGGCGACTCCAGCTCAATGACTTCACCAATCGATCCTGAAGCCTGTGAGTGGAGAGCTAGCAGGATGGCCTCTTGAGGATCTGCACTCATCCTTCTGACGTCACCTTTGAAAGTAGGCAAATAGGAAACCTAACCTCAACTCCCTCGCCAGTTTGTTTATGTCCTTAGAAAAAGCCAGGTCTCTTCGCTGCAGTTTGATCATGGGCTCTCCAGAAATTACTCCAAGTGGGCAATTCACATGTAGTGTTTGTGTAATGGTAAGAGTCAATAAGTGAAATCTCTCCACGTGGAAGGGAGTATTTTGTAATTCTCTGGCTAGAACGGCATGACTCCCTTCCCCCATGGGCCTTATTGTGCTGTAAAAGGATCTGAAAGCTTCTTGAGTCTGCAAGCATCTCCTAATGCCTCTACAAACAACACGTGTGAACACAAGTGGGAGTGTGCAGTGCCTATAAAGTCACCACGTAGAGCCTGGCATGGGGAGGTGCACCACTGGGTTCCTGCTCTCTGCTCAGCTGTGCTGTTGTGATGGGTGAGTAATCTTCCCAGAGTTAAGCTGCATTCAGGTGTGCTGCTGGGCTCAAACCAGACCTGCGCGGGGTGACTTTACAAAGGCAAGGAGACCAAAGCCTGGCCTGGTGACACACGGCCTGGCACTGTGATCTTAAAAGGGATGCAGACAAAGGAGGAGGTGACATACATCCATGGTGGCACCTTATGCTTTTGCAGGTTACCTAATCCTGTCCCATTAGTAAGGAGCCCTGCATTTCAGCTGGTCCTTTCCCCTCCTGATCTCCTCCTAATCAGCACATGTAGCACTTGTGGTTGCACTGGGGCCCTTCCCCACATGGGACTGGCATCTCCCCCAGCACCGAGCTGATGTAGAACGTGGGTTTGTACTGGTGGCCACCGACAGTCCAGTGGTTTGGGCTGATGTCACCATGCGCACACAAGAGACTTTCTCCTATCTACCTGGTATCTGGCATCTGTAGCATAGGACTCATCCTCTGGATCTTGGTCCTGCAGCTCTGCATTCCCTGGCCAGAGCTCCCCAGGGCCGCCGAGGGGCGGCAGGCTGCCCAGGGGTCCTGATGATGCTGCCACCCTTCCCTCCCCAGGGCTGCAGGCTGGGACACGCCAATTCCATGGGAACCTCGTCCTCCTGCCCGTGGTGGCGGTGATGCTTCTCCACTGTGTGAGTGCAGGCCCAGGAATGCCCACTGCCAGCTCGCGGAGTGGTGAGTATGGACCCGGCTGGGGGAAGTGGCACCAAGGGCAAGAGAGCTTCAGCCTGGCTCAGCACCGACCCTTGGGTCTGCCAGGTGCTAGACAGGCTGTCATGCAGGCAGACTGGCTGAGGCAGAAGACAAGAACATCTCGACATACAGACTGCTGAACTCTTTGAAAGCTAAGCAGCCTGACCCGTGTCAAGCCATCCTTTGGTGGCTCCAGGCTGAAACCAAGGGGCTTCTGCCTAAACAGTTCCATCAGAGCATCAGAGGTCATCCCAGCACTTTATTATTTATTTATGCACTTATCTGTAGCTCTTGTTGAGTCTTTACCCCCTCCATGCAGGCAGGGTAATGTTCCATGCAAGATGTGTTCCACAGATAAGCAGAATTCATGGGCTGAATTTGAAGAACCCACAGTAAATTGTCCAACATCAGAAGCAAAACAAGAAAAACAACAAAATAGGTGGCAGATTAGTTTAGCAAGTAAATGATGAGAGATAAGTCTTGTTAATAGATTACCTGAAGCAAACTGGGGGTGGAGATGCCTATCAGAACAAGGTAGAGCCTGCCTTTCTTTTGCAGTGCCACGACCCCAAGGGTAAACGTAAATTTTCATTACATATCCTCACCCAGTGAAGCATTTTGCACACTTCTGATTTTGCAGGACAGCATCTCATAATGTCAAGGGCTCAGTAGCAGGCCAGCCTTGCCTGCAGCACACACTGGCATCTGGGAGATCTTTTTCCCCCTCCATCTTGGCCAGATGCATCAGCAGCTCCAAATGCAAGCGCAAGTCACGAGCAGGATGCTTAGCAAGGCCAGTCTTTGGGCCCTTTGTTCTCCCTACAAGAGCCACTGCCAGTGCAGAAAAGACCACAGATAAAAGCATCCCTTTTTGTGCCGAGTCCTCACTCTCTTCTAGGAGCTCCTCGTTGCCCACACAGACTCATACAGCCCTTCTCTCTTCCACCCCGCTCTCTGTTTGCTGCAGTTCCTGTTGCAGGGTTCCCCGCAGACTGCAGCCACCTTCGCAAGACCAGCCCCAGCGGGGTGTACGTCATCCAGCCGGCGCGGTCCCCCCCCCGCGTGGTGTGGTGCGACATGGACACCGAGGGCAAGGGCTGGACTGTTGTCCAGAGGAACTCTCATGACACTGAGATCATGTGGAAGCAGTCCTGGACCACCTACAAGTACGGCTTCGGGAACGTGCAGGGCGACCACTGGCTGGGCACCGAGTACCTGCACCTGCTGACACAGCAGGGCACCTACAAGGTCCGCTTCGTCGTGCGGGACAAAGCCAACGTCACCCACTATGCTGAGTACGACATCTTCAGAGTGGAGAGCGAGGGCAGCGGCTACCCGCTGAGGCTGGGCCGGTTCTCCGGTGAAGGGGACGACTATCTGACCGGCTACTACCCCAAGAAGGGCGGCATCCACGACAACATGAAGTTCAGCACGGTGGACAAAGACCAGGACCAGTACAGTGGGAACTGCGCCAGCAGCTACGGGGGGTGGTGGTACGACAGGTGCCAGAACGTCGTGCTCAATGCCCAGAAGTACATCCTCTGGCCGGGATTCTGTGATAAAGGCGACTGCACATCATCCCTCATCCTGGTCAAACCCACCGACGTGTGCTGACTGTGCCAGACGTTGGGGAAGTGCCACTGTCCGCAGCCCGGTGCCCCATCCCTGTGCCTGCCAGCTCTGTGCCAGCCCTGCTGGGCGCCCTGTGCCACCTGCAGCTCCCTCATGGCCACCAGCTCCAACACTGCAGCTCTGGGGCTCGGGAGTGATCTCCTGGAGCCCCGGGCACATGGGCAGCTTCGCCCAATGCTGCTGTGTTGGCCGGCACCGGGATGCAGGCACTGCTTTGGGATGGGAGAAGAGGAGAAGTGCGAGTTCCCTTCTCTGTGCATCAGCATCTCCCCGCTTTGCTCCTTGGTCCCATAATTGCTACCCACATTGTGAGAAATCAGCTACAATAAACCCCAGAGCCAGACTTTGCTGCCTCCTGTCTCCTTGCTGTGCCGGTAATGTGAATAAACGGAGGAAGAACCACTCTGTCCAGACCCCAGGGTGGTGGACTCAGGAAGGGTGGGTGCATTATGTAGTGTGCTCTCACAGATCTCCTCCTGGACAAGAAGATGCACACACTCAAGTGGCCCCAGACCTCCCTGGAGCACACACAGCACATCTTTCCCATGGCTAGTGTGCAGGCTGCTCATTCTGAGATGGTTTTGTCATCCTCAGATGGGTTTGCTGGGCCACATCAGCGGTGGAGCTGATGATCCTACTGCACTGAGCTGGTGCAGAGCAAATGTGCCATGCAGGGGTTTTCTGCTGATGTTTATTGTTTTGCTTTTATTCTGAAGTGCTTAAAGACTCCTCAGCAGAAAGCCTGAAGCTCATCCCCTCTACTGCTGGCTGTCCTGAACATGTCCCTCTGGTTCCCTGATAAAGAGTCCATTCTCAGCTGTCCTGTAAGCCCCAATAGGTGCAGGAAGGCCGCAGTGAGCTCTCCTCTCTTCTGCAGGCAGAACACCCCCAGCTCCTCGGCTCGGCTCCACAGCAGAGGTGCCCCAGCCCTCTGAGCACCTCGTGCCCTCCTCTGGACCCGCTCCAACAGCCCCACGTCTTTCTCGTGCTGGGGGCCCCGGGCCTGGACGCAGGACTCCAGGTGGGGCCTCACGAGGGCAGAGCAGAGGGGGACAGTCCCCTCCCTGCCCGCTGCCACCCCTCTGCCGATGCAGCCCAGGCTGCTGGCGGCTCTCCGGGCTGCACGCTGCTGGCTCAGGTCAGCTTTCCCTGCTCAGAATCCCAAGTCCTTTCTGCAGGGCTGCTCTCAAGGAGTTCTTCCCCCTTCTGAACACATACCTGCCATTGCCCCTGCCCCAGGGCAGCACTGTGCACTTTTCCTTGTTGAGCCTCAGGTGCTTCCCATGGCCTGCTGTCCATGTCCATCTGGATGCCTCCCTTCCTTCTGCTGCATCCGCTGCACCGCTCGGCTCGGTGTCTGAGGGTGCACTGAATCCCATCATCCACGTCCCTGATAACGCTGTTGAAGAGTACGGGTCCCACAGAGCAGCCTGTGGGACAGCACTCATCCCTGCCTCCACCTGGCGCAGTCATTGACCACAGCCCTCCAGCTGTGACCTTCCAGCCAATTCCTTACCCACCAAACATCCCGCCCCTCAGACCCGGATCTCTCCAACTTGGAGATAAGGATGTGGTGGGGCACCACAGAATCACAGAATGGCCAGGGTTGGAAGGGACCTCAAGGATCATGAATCTCCAACCCCCCTGCCACATGCAGGGCCACCAACCTCCACGTTTAGTGCTAAGCCAGGCTGCCCAGGGCCCCATCAACCTGGCCTTGAACACCTCCAAGGACACCACGTCAAAGGCTTTGCACAAGTCCAGGTAGGTGACATCGGCCGCCCTCCCTTTGCCCACCAAGGTCATCGCTCCATCACTGAAGGCCACCAGGAGGGCCAGCCGTGCTCTGCCCTTGCTGAGGCTGTGCCAGCTGCCTGCGGTCACCTCCTCATCTCCCCTGTTCCACGATCTTCCCAAGACAGTGGCACCCAAACCCCGAGTGTGACCCCCTCCATACAGGCAGCCATTCACTGCCAGCAGAAGGATTGCCAGGAAAGGCCCCAGGCGTCCTGGTGAGCAGCACTTTGCCAGGAGTCAGCAGGATGCCCTTGCAGAGATCCAGGGCTGCATTAGCAATAGCACAGCCAGCCAGGGTGGCTGAAGTGGCCATTTGGCTCTGCTCAGCACGAGAATGCCATTCCCAGTAGCACTGATAGCAGCCTAGCCTGGGGGCCCTGTTTTGGTCTCCAGATCAATGGATATGGCTAAATCGAGCTGGTGCTTCCTTCCTACTCTCTGTCACAGATGGAGTCTACACCCTTCGCTCGTAAGAAAGAAGCAGCAATATATTTATTGATGTAACATAGCAATTTAACAAACTTTGTAGAGATTTAGCAAAGGATTTGAGATGTCAAGGTGCACTCAATCATTTACTGCATAGAGGATAGGCTTGAATGTGCGCTCTACCAGGAGACTTTCCTGTTCGGTCACGAGGTTCAGAGCAGACCCTCTTGCTTTCTCAATTCCTTGTTAGAGGAATCTAGATGTGGCTGGTTCCAAACCCAGTCCCAGATTGGGTTTATGTCTGTGACCTTTCCATTGGGCTATGGTGCTCAGAGCAGAGCAGACCCGCTGGTTCCTGCATCCCTTGAACCATGGAGGCAAGGAACCCTGCGTTAGTCAGTGGTTTCTGTCTGAAGGATGATATACTCACAATCAATCTAAGACATAACCTTAGCAAAGATAACACAGCTCAACCAACTGTTATTCACTTACTAAGCATTTGTTTTGGCAGAGCCTCTTAACACCAAGGCACAAGAAATTGCTGCAGCAAGTGTAAGGAGATGCTGCAAAGACTGCTATCTGCTGCTGCTCTTTTCTGTGGGCACAAACAACAGTGAAAGACAGAACATGGGCAGAATCAAAGACTATAAAGCCCTGTGAGCACAATTGGAAAATGTTAGAGCCCACGTTATCTTCTCAGTTTTGTCAGCTGAAAGAAAGAGAGAAGCCTGAAATAGATGTGTAATGCACATCATCTGGCTGCGCGGCTGGTGTTGGTGTGAGGGTTTTGGTTTTTGCAACAATGGGACTTTTTGTGAAGATTACAACCCGTCTGGGAGGGGTGGGATCCACCTGTCCAGAAGGGGCCGGGCAATCCACGGCAGCAGGCTGGCCAACCCAGCGTGGCAGGCTTTAAACTGGAGGACCTGGGGGACAGGGTCCATAAAGGCAACGCCATTATGAACTGAGGCAGTGGAGTTGCTCTATCTGTGAGAGAACAACAGGAATGCATTGAGCAACGTACTGCAGGGAATTGCTTCCAGGGATTTGGACCGGGGGAGCCCCAGAGGTCCCTCCCAGCCCCTGTGATTCTGGGATTGCGTGACAAAGAATTCCTGCAGCAGGTGTGACCTTGAGAGTCTCCCCTTCTCAAGGGGAGATGCAGCCATACGTTCTGTTTTGGTACAGGGGAGCGGGAGGACTCTGGTCTGTTTACTGATTGTAGGGTACGATGACTGGCTGCAGCCATATCGGATAGTAATTTAGTTCTGAGCTCGGTGTTAGGCGTCCCGGAATCTCGCTTAAATCAGACAGCGTTCGGCACCGCCGTCAGTCCGCTGCTGGCACAGCTGCTGCTGAGCGCAGCGCCATCAGCTGGGCTGGAAACAGCCGGGATTGCGGTCACCCCTGCCGGAAAAAGGCTGACGGTGCAACGGTCAGGCAGGAAGGAGGGGGGGAGCGGGGGAAACGCACCGTCGTTTTCAGCTCGCTTTAAGCTGCATGGTTCTGCGTTCCCTTTTGGAAAGATCCACACTTTGAAACCCAACCCCCTTCTTTAAGTGCAAGTTTTCTCATTAATTCCCCATTTGCTTCGTCAAAAATATTCCCCTCTGATTTCTGAAACAGGAGCCTCAGGTCTGCTCCTGGCTAATAGCAGGCAGCAGATGAAGGACATTTCCACACGTCTGTGCTGGTTCTGAAAGCAGTTTTATTCTGCAGGATGAGCACCAGCTGCAGCATCTGTGCGTTCTGCCCGGGTGTGGAGCAGCTTAGGTTGGGTTAGCTGGCAATGAATGAGATTCTCTGCTGAAGTCTGTGGCCTTCAGCTGTAACCGCAGAGCAGAAAGAGAATGAGCCCTTGCTGGGACAGGAATACCAAAACGTTTGCAACGTCTTGTTCTAATGATGGTCCTAAAAACCCACCACAGGTGATGGGCCACAGACATTCATCAGCTAATATCCAGGAAAAGAGGAAAGGAAAACAGCTCTTGGTATAAAGGAACACCCCACTCACGCCCAGAATCCCAGCCAGCAACGAGCGGTGCGGCAGAGCCCTGGCCTGGCTGCGTCTGCTGGGGAAGGGACGCTATGTGTACGGAGCTGGTTTGATGAGGATGAGGGAGGATTTGCAGTCCCCTTTGCACAGGCTGCCCCACGTCAGGCCGCCCTTGAAATTCAGCCGCACGGAATAACAAGCCGAGTACCACCACCCGCCCCCAGAGCGGGACGCACAGTTCTTCCTTGAAGTGTCCTGATCCCGATCTTTGGTGGAGAATTTCATGTTGTTGTGCATGTTACTGGGATTGTCCGAGTCCATGGCATCCCCCGCTGTGCCCGCGTAGGAGCCCAGCCGCAGCCGGTAGCCCTGGGCCTCATCGTCCAGACTGAAGAGGTTGTAGTCTGCGAACCTGACGTTGTTGGAGGCATCATGGATGACGAACCTGACCTGGTAGACCTTCTGCTTGGCGATCTGGTGGATGTACTCGGTGCCCAGCCAGTAGTCGCCGCGCACGTTCCCAAAGCCGTACTTGTAGGTGCTCCAGGACTCGGCCCAGGTGATGTCTGTGTTGTGGCTGTTCCTCTGGATGACCGTCCAGCCCCCGTCCGTCACGTTCATCTCGCAGTACACCATGATGGGGTGGAGCCCTGAGGGCTGGATGATGTAGACGCCGCTGGGGCTGCCAGGAGGGATCTCACTGCAGTCTTCGGGCCAACCTGGGGCAGGAAACAGGTGGTTTTACATCTTACCTGGCACAAGGAGAAGCTGAGAGCACTCCTTGGTTGGCTCAGACCAAGGAATGGCAACGGGGTTGGTGAGAGCACTGCAGTACCCATGGAATGCTCCTTACTGTTTTTCTTCAGAGCGTTTGCCAAAGTGTTGGAGGTTTTCTTGAAAGTGTTTAGGATTTCTGCAGGCACGGAGAGGCCTGGGACAGCCAAGACCAGCACAAAAGCAAGGAGTAGAAGGCACTGGGCTACTAGAAAAGGGAAAAGATGTGAAAACATTGAGACATGAGGTGGGAAAGCCCCTGGCTCCAGCACTCACGTGAGACACAGGAACACACAACGTTCGCTGTGCTCTGTGCCCGACGGGGAGTGAAGGCCTCTGCTGCTCTGCCCAAGGGGTGAGCAGCTTGCCCTTTCCCTGTCCCCAAAGCCACGCACAAGGCAGGGTCAGGTGGAGCACAGCACCAACAGCTGACCGAGACGAGCTTTCATAGGAAAACGTTCCTGGCCCCAAAGCAGAACCCAACTCCAGGTCACCAGCAGGGTGGGCATGAAGGGGTGCAGGGGAGCGCAGCCCTCTGCGTGTGCTGATGACCCTGATCCCCATCAGGGCAGTCTCTCCCAGTGCCCCGCAAGGAGCCTCCCCAGCCCTGCACTCACCCATGGCTGCGGCACGGGGCTCCCTCTGACATGCAGAGCTGTGGGGCTGCAGTAGGAGGCACTTGTAGGGCCCTCTGCAGTGGGTGGGGTAAGCACGTCTGACCCACGCAGCCTCCTTTCTCCTGGGGGTGGGAATCAGAGCGAGTTCCCTTCTGGTCCTCATAAAACAGGACCTGAGAAGAAAGTGACCATGGTGCCTGGCACACAGCTGCAAAGAAAACAACACCTGTGCCGGCAAGAGTGCTTGGAATGCTCTCTGCTGTGAGTGCTCAGCTCCTTGGATGAAATTCCTGCTGGGAACGGCGGAGCTGAGAGCTCCAAAGAGCTGCTTTTGAACAAACACTTGGATGCCAGTCCTCATCCAGCAGGGAGAGCAAACAGTGGGGACTGGAGAGACTTTGAGTGGTCACGGTGAGAATGGAGGGCATCCAAGGTGCTGGGGACTGGATGAATCCAGGGGTGGATGGGGTGGGACACAGATCTGAGAGCACTTAGAAGGCAACAGAGAAGACTGGAGGGTACATAGAGGGGGTATGATCTGCATGTAAGTTATGGCAGGGGCTGAGGTGTGCTGTAGTTGCCCTTCTCCTTTTCCCCTTCTGTCTGCTTTCCTCCAGTTTTTGGATACTTCTCGCAGGTGCCACAGTCAGTCAAAGCTGATGGGGAGTGGCAACGCATGACACCCGCCAGCCCCCCAGCAGCTGCGGGTGCATTCCTCAGCGCCCAGGAACTCGTCCACATCCAGCTTGCTCAAGTGTTCCTGACCTGATCCTTTCCACCAAGGATGAATCTCCCTTGCTCAGGTCTTTCCCAGCAAGCCCATGTTTTCCCTGCTCTTTGTACTGCAGGAATTCTCGCCGTGGATTTCCTATTGATCTGAGCTCCTTGTGAAGCAGCACTGCTCCAGAGTGCCCATCCAGGAGAGTGCATGGGGCAGCTCTGAGGTGAGGACAGTTTATCATGAAGACAAGGAGCCCACGCACATATCAAATCAGTTTAGGATTCCAGCTCCTGCACTTCAAGGATGTCTACATGCCTTTGCACAGGTGCTTCTCAGCGCAGAGAGATCTCAGTGCGGAGGACAAGATGCAACTTACTTGCTCCATTTGGGAACAGCTGCAGTGCATTAAGCATGGCAGCAGCAGCAGCAGTGGCGGTGCAGCCCTGTCCTGGGCCACTCTGTGTTCTCAGAGCATGTCACCATTGTGCTGCTGCCTTTGTACCTGAGCAGCGAGCTGGGACTACAGGTGCTCCCTAGCTGTGCAGTGTTGGACCCTCTGACACACAGCTGTCCTGGGGCTGCACACAGCAGCTCCTGCCTCTGTGGGGTTGAGTCATCTCCTCCTATCCCATACCTTCTCTCTCCCAGAAATAAGCGAGACAGTACGATTATAATTTGTAACAAAAGCAAAGGCAAATTCTCCCCCACTCCATACAGGCAAAGAGTCAGGGAAAGGACCCAGGACTCCGCTACACCCCACAGACAATGCATGATGAGCAGCTGCTGATGTTTCGGCCCTCGAGGAAAGATCCTGGTGTAAGTCCACATGAATTCATGCTCCCATTGGGGCCCTGGTGTCCAGGTCCATGGGGTGCCTGGAAGTCACTGGGGTCTAGGAGGCTCCGGAGATTTTCGGCAACATCGCCAGACAGACCTAGGAGGAGGTAAGAAGGATGGAGAGAGAGCAGGAGGGGAAAGAGACCTCATATTCCCATCTGTTGGAGGCGAGGGAAGAGGGCTGTGGGGCAGCTGTTGGTCCCGGGAGCAACCAAAGGATCTAAGGGTGAAAGAAAGTATGGGGCCTTGAGGTCGTGGGGACAACTGAGTCACCTGCATGTAAGCAGGGCCCTAGAGGAACTACAGAGATTCTGGGGAAAATGAGGAAAAGTGACAGGGGCAGTTAAGGAGTCTGGGGGAAGCAGGGTGCTGTGGAGAGGTCCTGGGTGTGAGTGAGGAGCCTCAGTATGGGTCAGAGTGTGAAGGGAGTCCCAGGGGAAAATAAGAGCTCTGTCAGGCAGGGAGTTACAGCAGTCTGTGCTGTGGGGGACATCCGGTCCCCTCACATCTGTAGGGATTCCTGAGGTGCTGGGACTTCAGAAGGGACTTGGGAACCTGATACAGATCTGTGAGGGACCCCAACAGTGGGAACGGCGAGTGCAGCAGGTCGAGCACTCACAGCAGCAGCAGCAGCAGCACGAGGCTGACGAAGCCAAGGACCAGTCCCAGCTGCAGGGATGTGGTGAGGTGCAGGGGGGCTCTGCCCTGGGGCCAGCGCAGCACAGCTCTGAATCGGGCCTGGAGCCCCTGCTCGGCCTCCACGCTTCCCCCTGACACTGCAGGACCCAGCCAAGCATGTGGGAACTCCTGCCACGAGCTACGGCACCCCTGCAGCCCCCTGAGCTCCTGCCGCCCCTTCGGCCCCTGCAACCCCCGCTCAGGCACAGTCTCGGTGGCCCCCGGAGCCCCACACACCCCACTGCCCCACGGGGAGCTGGGATCAGGGAACACCTGCTTCGCTCTCTCCTCTCACCGGGGCCCCGGCTGTGCAGAGACTCTGCTCTCGCGTAGCCCAGCTCCTCGCACACCGTGCACCCGGGGATCCCGGTGTCCCTCTGCACCCCACGCCGCCCTGCAGGCTTCCGATCCATGCGCACCGTTGAGGTAGAAGTACTTGCGGGCCAGGGTCTCAGAGGCGGCCCCCAGGCGACAGGCGACGGTTCCCAGAGTGGGGTCCTGCACGGTCAGGCTGGGCGGTTCCCCAACGCCCCTCTGCAGCTCCTCAAACAGCGCCAGGTCCTGCGTGCGTATCTGGGGCGTGGGGAACCCGGCCCATGGAGGCGTGCACGCAAAGGCACCCGTGTCACACGCGTGCTCCTCGTGTCCCCACGTGCTCCTCGTGTCCCCACGTGCTCCTCGTGTCCCCACGTGCTCCTCGTGTCCCACACTCCTGCGCGCGCATCGCACCTCACGTCCCACGCGCGCTGCTCGCGTGCCAACACGCGCACGGGTCGCTTCTTCACAGAAGCGCACCAGAAGCCGCACGCGCGGTGAGCAGCTCGTGCTCGCGCTCACCCTTCGTGCGGGTGCTCAGCTGGTCCGGCCCCGCGCATTCATCTCATCACAAGCAGCGCCCCCCCGCAGCCGGCAGCGCCGTGCCCCCCGCCCGGGCCCCTCCTGGCGCCTGCGCGCACTGCCCGCGCCTGCTGCTTACGTCCTTGGCAAACATCCACGTAACCTGCAGCTCCGGCGGGACGGCGAAGGGCACGTCGCAGTGCAGCGTGATGGCTTCGTCCTCGTGGACCCACAAGTCCTGAACTGGGAGCACTGCCAGCTGAGCTCACCTGCGCTCATGCACCTGCAGGAGCCGCCGCGCCGCTGCGCGACCGCCGGTGCTCGCGGCGGGCGTGGGCAGACACGCCGCCTGGGTAGCGACGTCCCGGTCCCCTGCCCCCTACCTGGGCAGTCCACAGGGAACTGGCAGTCCACGAGGCGGCAGGTTGAGCACTGGAAGATGCGCGCGGCCGGCTGGTGCCCTGGGAAGGAGGTGGTGGGAGCGTCAGGGGGTAGGGGGAGAATCTGGGGACGGGGGGATGGCAAAACACGAGAGAACTCACCGCAGGGGGGGATGCAGGCAGGAGCTGGTTGGGGGAAGGAAGCATCGTTAAACTGGGGATCGCGAGGGGTCCTCATCCCTGTGACGAGCTGTAAGGGCTCAGCCCCTGTCCAGCCCTGGAATGGAGTCCCTGGGGGTGCCTCCAGGGAAGGGATGCCCAGGGTGGAGACCTAGAGGGGTGTCTGTGTGCCCCATGTGGGGAAGCTGGGGGGTGGAGTCCCACGGTTCGCATGGGGGGGGGAGTCCTGGATGGGGGTCCCTGCTGGCCCCATACCTTGCTCCAACTGGCTCAGCTTCACCCAAATCATTTGGATGGCTTCCCGCAGAGACACCTCAAAAGGCTCTGGAGGCTCACAGATGTCCATGTCAGACAGTGCTCCCACCCCCAAATCTTCCAGTGTCAAGACTCGTGTCCCCACTCATCCCACACATTCCCCGTGCAACTCTCCTGGATCCCAGACTTTCATATGCCCCTGAATATCCCCCAAAGCACCAGATTCTCCATACCCTGAAACCCGTCTACCCTCAGGATTCCCCAAATATGCCTTTACACCACGCCTGAAATCCATACATCCTATATTCCATGGATCCCCATCCAAGTCCTCTGAGCCCCGTCCCCTGTGCCCCAAATCTCCCATACATCTCATCCCTGCTCACTCTTGTCCTTCTGCTTCTCCAGTAAATGCAAGGCATCCATGACGATCTTCCGCAGTGCTTCGCTCTGCGCTGCTCCTGGGACCACAACAAGGGCACTGGGACCATCACACGGTCAGGACTGGAGGGCTCAGGGCTGGAGGGTTCCAGTAAGAACTGGAGGAGGGCTCAGGGCTGATTCCCAGAGTCCAGGTCAGGGCAAAGGGGTTCTGGGAATGGCCAGGCATCCCTGAAGACCCCCCAAGATCTTGGGAAGCTCTGGGAGTTGCTGGAAGTCCACACTGTACCCCTGCCCAGGGCTGGGATCCATCCAGTGTTCCATGCAAGTCTGGCGTTCCCAGAGATCCCCGGGATCCATATCAGAGTTGGGAGAGTGCCAGATGGGTCTGAGGGGTGCCTGGGGGAGTCCACCTCAAGACTGGGGAGACCGTGGCATGCTTGAGGGCCCCCAGAATGCTCGTCTGAGTGTCCCGTTGAGATGGTGGCCCCTAGGGTGCCAGTCAGGACGGGGGCAGAGGGTCCCATTGGGGTGGGCATCCCTGGGGTCCCACCACCCACCCACAGTGACGGGGGCAAGTGGCACAGCAGCCTCTGCGAGGGCCTCCAGGCAGTGCTGGTGCTGGGAGTCCTGAGAGCTCCTGGCCATCTCACGGCAGAGCCGGGCCCACTGAACGGGGGGCCCAAAGCAGAGCAGGCAGGGGCGCAGCCCCGGAAGCCAGGGCACCAGGAGCAGCAGGAGGGGCAGCCACCGCCGCTCCATGGTCTCAGAGCACAGCACGGCCTGCCTGGGTGCCCAGGCAACGGGGGTTCCGAGGTGGGGCCCAGGTGCCCGGGTCACCTCCCGTGGGGATGGAGACACTCTGACATGTGGCTTTTGGAAATGGAGGAGCTCTCGCTTCCTCATTTTCATCTCCTCACGTTCTTTGCCTTCAGTCCCCACCGATATCACTGATATCTCCAAACACCCTCTTTCTTGACACTTAATTACTGCCACCCACCTCCCCCCATTCCCTACAAGCTTATTCCTTGCGCACCCTCAGCCCAGGCTCTTGGATCTCCACATCCCAGCTGGTGAAATCCACACAAGATTCACTTTTGGTTTGGTGCCCAACTGTATGCAAGGTACCTACATAACTTCTGAAGTGCTCGGTCTCTGGAATGGTAGGAATTGCTTTGTGTTTGGAGGCAGCGCTCATTGCGCAGCGTTGGAACACTCCTGGAACTGAGCTGCTCACGTTCCACATTTTGTGCTGAAGCACAAATCCCAGAGACTGCAACACAGAGGAATGTTCCATCCCGAGGGACAGAACAGCAACCCCGGTTTTCATAGGAATGCGTAACACTGAAACCTGAAAACAACCTACAAACAGGTGGGCATGGAAACCCACTAATGGAAAACAGTAATGGAGAGAGAGGGAACACAGACAAGCCCCGGAAACAGTGGGAAAATGTGGAGCAGCCACTTCCCAACACTGTTGTTGAGATGCTTTAACATGGCAGGTGCAATCCGCGGGCCCTGGCAGGGGTCACTGGCGCAACCCTGTGTTTGTGGTTGTGTCTTTAAACATGGGCTCACGTTAGCAGTCTCTTCACCAGATCAGCATCAGATTCCTCAGCCACGTGTTTGCTCTCAACTGACCGGCAGCGTCACCCTGCGCACACGCGCTCAGTCCTTCTGGCTGCTGGCCACGCATGTGGGACTTGGACAGAGCCGGATTCTCATGTTCTGACTGGAGTCTGGCGTGCTCTTCCTACCAGCAGGTCACAGCCGTTCCTGTGGTTCACACGTTACCATCTGCTGGAAAATATTCCGTACTTGTCTGCTTACTGCTGGCCCAGTTTGACCTGCTCCAGAACTCAGGATTCAGTCAAATATTTGAACGAAGCGCGAAATAAAGTGATAAATAAGTTGCTTTACCTCTTCATAAGCATGCAGACTTTCTGCTGTTAACAGAAATCGGTCTTCAACCCTTCCCACTCATCGCAGAAGCTCTTGATGCCCCCACGACACAGGGAGGCTCTGGGGTGCGTTCTGCCCCCGTCCTCACCCACAAAGCATTAAGAGGGACCTTGGAGGCGGGGGGAGCTTTGACAGACCTTTCTCAGATTTCAACCAGAAACTATCCCGGAGGGGCATTTTGGGGATCTTTATTTTGTAAATGATCATTTCTGCATCTTTTTCTAACCCTTACACGAAGTGCTGTGGGGGCTGCCTTGTTGTGGGGGGAGGGCGGCCCTGGGGTTCCTGACTTCCGCTGCAGGTCCCTGGGTGCACCAGTTGTCGGAGGCTGCGTCTCAGCATCACCGCAACCCGGGGGGATGGCGCCATCAGCGGCCCCCTCCCACCCCTCCCTGCCATGGCGCTGAACCCTGTGGCCGCCCCAGACCCTCTGCGCACCCCCCCTTGTTCCTGTTCCTCCCTGACCCCCCTCGGCCGCGGTGTTTTATCGCAGTTAGGAGGGACCAGGACTGCCGCGTGTTCCCTCTCGCCCACTGAAACATTTTGCACCCGAGATTAAATTAACCTGCACAGCTCTGTTTCAGGCTGAAAACGGAGTGTTTGGAGGAGGAAGGGGCATCTGCGTCCTGCTTTGCAGGGGACTGGAATGACGGCATCACGTGCTGACACGTGATCACCACGGGAGCTCTACTGGGGCTGCAGGGACCGCAGTCCCGGCGGTCATTTTGCATGGCAGGCGTCCATCACCCGTTGGGGCACATGAGAGGTTCACAACACTCAGGGCTCCGTCCCACGGTGGGGCCGTCAGGAGCACAGGGCGGCGGCGGCGTCGCGCTCCACCTCGATGGACACGATGTGGTGCCCAGGCACCATGGCCAGGCCCAGCACACGCGGCTCGCTGCCCGGGAACGCATCTGCAGGGGACAGCAGCACCGTGTCAGCCTCACCGCCACGTCCCCATCCCCACGATTCCCCGTGGTCCCGCTCCCATCACCCCCGGTACCCCAACCGCCCTCCCCATCGCTGCCTCCACTTCATCGCTCCCCTCACCCCCATCCGACCCCGAGTCCCCACTGCCCCTGCGGCCCCATTTCCCGCCGTGGCCCCGTACCCGCAGCCTTGAGGAACTCCTGCGCGGAGCCGAGGATGATGTTGGCGTCGCGGTCCGTGCAGAGGAAGGCTCCCACCAGCGTGCGCCCGTCCGACATGCGCACCCGCAGGCTGCGGTTCAGCAGCGCCGCCAGGCGCCGGGCGCGGGGCTGCGGCCCTCCGGGAGGCTGCACGGGGGAAGCCGGGTCGGACACGGTCCTCCTATAGAACCTCTGCAGCACCCATAACCCCCCAGGCATCCCATGAGCACCCGCACAACCCCACCGCGCCCCTGCGGCTCCCAGGACCGCCTGCTGAACCCCGCGCCCTCTCCGTGCCTCGCCGGTCCCCTGCAGCACTGCCACAGCCACGCCCGCGGCTCCCAGCAGCGCCCGCACCGCTGCCGCAGCACCCCTCCATCTCTGCACCTCGCACGCAGGGCCCCTGTTCCCACTCCGTCGCTCCCAGGACCTCAAAGCACACCTACGCTTCCCAGCACCCCACAGCGCAACCCAGACGCTCACCCGGAGGATCGCTTACCGCAGCTCCCAGAGCGCCCGCCGAGCAGCCCGCAGCTCTCGGCACTGCCTGCTGGACCCGCACAGCTTACGGGATCGCCTACGGGACCCCGCAGCCCCCATACAGCTCCCAGGACCCCAGCAGCTCCCATACCGCTTCCGCCTCTACAGCTCCGCTACCCCTCGGACCGCCCCGTGCCCGCCCGCACCCGCCTGCGGCCCCCTCGCAGCTCCTACAGCCCTCCTGCGGCCACTTCCTAGAGCCCCGCGGAACTTACAGACCTACAGCCTCCAGCGCCCCCATCCCGCCCCACAACACCCCGAACGGCCGCCCCGCTCACCGCCGGCTCCGCCATAGAACCGCACCGCTCCCCGGCAGCCCCCGCGCGGCGGCGGAAGGACCGCGCTTCCCGGCATGCCCCGCGGCGCCGCCGGGGGAAGGAGGGGGGGCGGTTCTCGGGTCAGCCAATCAGGAAGGGCGCTGCCAGCCGCGTTGCCATGGAGACGGCATCGCTTTCCGGCGGCGTTGTCGTTAACGGCGCTGCTTTCCGGCAGTGTTGCCGTGGCAGCGGGTGGCAGAGAGGCGGTTCTTTTCTTTCCCCCCTCTCTTTGGCCGCGTCTTTTTGCCGGGGTTCACCGAGCATCAGGGAGTCTCCGTATGGATCGGGGGTTCTCGGTCCTTCTTTTGGATGTCCCGGTGCGTTGCTTTTGTTTTTAGGGACCTCCGGGGCTCGCGGCCGTTGTGGAACACCTCCATCGCTCGGTGGGGCTGGGAACGCCATGCTTGGTGGCGCTCCTGTTTGAGGTCCCTTCGTTTAGCCTGGCCGTTTTGGGGCTCTTAGCGCAGCTCCTGCCGTGGTCTCACTGCTTTTTGGGTTTCCTGCAGGCGGCGCCGTTAGGAACTCTGCAGGGCTTCAGGTACCCCCAGATCTGAGCCCCCCCGCTGACGGGCTCGTTGTAAGGAGCTGTACTTGACTCCGTCCTCTCCATCTGAAAAGTTATGACCAAATGTTTATTAAGAAAGCAATTGTTAGAAGTCAATTAACCAATTAAGACACTTGTGTTTGGATGGCAAAGATTTGTGTCTACTTGGTGTTTGTATGATTGGTGAAGTGTTGCGAAAGAGTGTGAACCTGCAGTGCTCAGCCAGTGAGGAACCAGGGGAGAAAGAGATCAGCAGCGGACAATAGGGCATAAAAAATGGAACACTGTTTTCTCGGGGCTCTCCTGCTTGCAGGAGGCCGCCATTGCAACTGCAAATAAAATCTGCTTTATCAGAGAAACCGTCCTAGAAAATTATTTGGATTTTTCCAACACTGCTGTGCCCCCACCTCACCCTACAGCAGAACACGGCCCCAGTGACGCTGCCAGGCTGCACCTGTCCCCTCCCGCTTCGTCATGACTGCATTACGGCCTCTGGTGATGCTGGGGAAAGTAGGGACCTCAGGACCTCCCTCAAGATCCCACCAATGCCTCTGGGCAGCCTCAAAACCAAAAGGAGTCCTCAACCCCCCCGTGGGGGGCAAGGCAAAGGGGATTCATTTATAGAGCTTTGAACTAGATATGAAGAGGTGTGGAGGTGAAACTGGAGTCACTGGAAATGAGCCTGTATGTAACATGCCTGCTCTTGTGGGAAAGGGATGTGCTGGTAAGATCCCACAGTCTTGTGTGGTGGTGAAGGAGGAGGGTCACACACCTTTTTGCATGATCAACACAAGAGTTGGTGTGAGGTTGGTTACTACGGAAACACCTGAGTATGGTCAAGAGGTGTTAGGCCTTCTGCCACTCAAAAGGGCAGAGTCCCCAGCTAAGGGACATTTACACTAATGCATGCAGCATAGGTAACTAACAGGAGGAGCGGGAAGCCATTGTGCTGTCAGTTATTGTTTGTGGCCATCACAGAAACGTGCTGGGATGACTTGTGCAGCTGAAGTGCTGGGATGGACGGTTACCAACTTTTGAAAAAAGATAGGCAAATAAGGAGATGCCGTGGTGTGGCCCTATATGTTAAGAAAAAAAATGTGAACGTCTGGAAATTAATGATGGTGATGATAGGGTTGAGAGCTTAAGGATGGGAGCCTAAGGGAAGGCTGAGATACTATCAGAGCTAACCCACTGCAGAGAATCTGAGCTGCAAACTGGATTGCATGTGATGGAGAGTCCCCCAGAATAATGAAAAGCCAGACGTGACCCTACTAAAATTGTTCCCATCTGTGGAGTTGTCTGACAGCGGTGGGCAACCTTCTAAAAACCTGGTACCTCCCAGGCATTAACACCTTTCTGTGGGATGTGTGTGTCTGTTGGGGATATGCTAATTCTGGTCACTGGAACAAAGGTAACTGATGTGATGGCTCTTCTGTATGTTCTAAAATGGCACTGCAAAGGCTCTCCTTTCTGCCCCCCCGTTAAGTCTTCCCTGTGTCAGCATTCCCTCAACTCTGCACTGCTTTCTTTGCCCCCCAGTTCTTCTGCCCTTCTGCTGCATTTGGTGGTCCCATCCCCTCCCTTTGTATCCACTAGTAACATGTCTTGGGAAAAGTGGCGTGCTGTGGGAAAACGATACGTTCTGGGGAATAGATAAATATTTCAGTGAGAAAAACACTTCTCTGGGGGGAAAAGATATGTGTTTTGGGGGAAAAAAAAGGGTGCTTTTTGCAGGGGAATAATGTGTTATCATGGAAATAAAAGGTTTTGGGGGAAATAACGATTCTGGGGGCAAGTAACAGGTTTGGGGGGAAGTACTCATTTGTGGCCTGCGATACTTCCAGGGATGGGGCACTCAGTACCCTGGGCAGCAGTGCCAGTGCCTCACTGCCTCTGGGAGAATTTCCTCCTTACATCTCATCTCAACCTCCCCTCTTTTAGTTTGAAACTGTTGGAAATATCAAAGTAATTTATCAGGGCGGTATCTCTGATAAAAGCAGATTTTATTCACAATTGCAATGGTGGGCATTCTGCAAGCAGGAGCACACAACTGAAAGCACGCTGCAGTCTTACCCCTATCCCCTGTTGGCAGGAATCCCTGCCCTGTGCCCTCACTGACGGGGCACTCCGTGTCACAGTTGGCCCTCTGCTGGCTGTCCCCTGGGAGCTGGCAGCATCCACCTCTGTTTCTCCAGGGAAGCAGCATCCATAAAGCAGTTGTCAGGCCATGATCTACCTGCCACGTGTCTGCCAGGTTGGTTTGTTTCCTCTCACACAGCTCTGGGTACAGGTGTATGTCTTACAGCCTTTCCCTTTGGATGCCCACCATCCTCCAGCAGCTGTGCAGCTGATGGAGAGCCTCTGCGTGAGGCCCTGTGGCAGTGTAAGGCTGAAGTGTGGGGAGAGGACAGCAGTGGTGACAGGCAAGGGGGATCTCTCCACTAAAAGAGGGAAGACGTAGGCTAGATGTGAGGGGGAAATTCTTCACTCGGAGTGGTGAGGCCCATTCCCCCCTTCCCCACCACCTGCTTTCAGGCAGCTGCAGGCAGCAGTGATGCCTCCCCTGAGCTCTGCCCCACTCTGACCCACCCCAGCTCCCCCAGCCGCTCCCATCAGACGCGTGCTCCACAGCCCTCACAGCTCCGTTCCTTCTCTGAACGCACTCCAGGGCCTCCACGTCTTTCTTGCAGTGAGAGCCCAGCACTGAACGCAGCACTGAACGCAGCCTCACCAGGGCCGGCACAGAGGGACGGGCAGCTCCTGCTCTGCCGGCTGCAGCACTGCTGACACAAGCCAGGATGCCGCTGGCCTTCTTGGCCCCCTGGGCACGCTGCTGGCTCATGGTCAGTGGGTATCAGCTCACACCCCCACATGCTTTTCCTGCATGCATCTTTCCAGCCATTCTGCCCCAGGCCCATAGCACTGCATGGGGCAGTTGTGACCCCAGTGCAGGACCCGGCACTTGGTCCTGTTGCAGCTCATCTCGTTGGCCTCAGCCCACTGATCAGCCTGTCCACATCCCTCTGTGGGGCCTTCCTACCCTCAGGCAGATAATGCTTCCTTCCAACTTGATGTCATCTGCAAACTTACTGCAAGTGCACTTAATCTCCTTGTGCTGATCTTCAAGATATTAAACAAGTTTGATTGTCCTGCACATGCTGTGTGATTGCACTCAATCTGCTCTATGACCTTCCCTATACCGTGGTCAGGCTGATGGGCCTATAGTTCCCCAGATTGTCCTTCTGACCCTTCTTGTAGATGGGCATCACATTAGCAGTCTCCAGTTGCCTGGGACATGCCCAACTCACCAGGACTGTTGGTAAATAGTGGAGAGTATCTTGGCCGTCACCTCTGCCTGTTCCCATCCATCCCCACAGATGGGTGGAGCAGCAGGTCGCTCATTCTTTCCACTCAAGTCATAGGGAGTTACTCTGCTCCCACCCCTGTGTGCCAGCTCAGAAGCTGAGTACCCCAAGGATAACCAGTCTGTTAAAGACAGAAGTAAAGAGGGCTTTAAGAATGACCATGCCATGGACAAGAACTCCTGTGCAGTGGCAGTGCCAAGGTGCAGATCCATGACCACGTCAGCCTGGGCCCAATGCCCAGCCATGTCCTGCAGTGCAGGGCTGTAGTGTGTGGGGGGTGAGGTGCAGGGGCAATAGGCTGGTGGGTGGAACACCTTCATCCCTGGAGCTGTGGCCCCTGCCCACAGGGAGCAGCAGCCCTGCATGCTGGGAGCTGTGCTGCACCCCGTGCTGCAGGAAATGGAGCAGCACTGTGCAGTGCTGCCAGAAACAGCCCTGGGATGGCCAAACAGAGATCTGTGTTCTGTCAACGCCAAACAGACTGCTCCTGGGAGCTGACAGGCTAGTTTCCTGCAACCTTTTGGCACAGGCATAAAGAAATGTAATCATAAGAGGTGTCAGAATTTGTTTTTGGAAGCGCTTGTGTGTTGGGGAAAGCTGAACGGCGAAGTGAGGCAATGTCTGAGAGCAGGCGGTGCTCAGCAGTTTGGCGGCTGACTCAAATGCAGTGCTCCCACTGTCTATTCGTTTTCCTTTGTATTCATCTGTTGTCAGCTGAACGGGAAGAAGAAATGCAAAGTCTCTATCTGTACTTTACATTTGTGCACTGCATTTGTTTCACAGAGAGTACTGGATAATTGCAGAAGAGTATTACACTTGTACAATTGAGAACTAATTGGTATGAATGCTTCTTTGCTTTGCTGTTTAATTGGAGCCAAAGGCAGTTTGGGGAAGTGGCCATGGTCTTGGGAAGGGATCTGATGTTTTTCTTGTTTAAATGTGATCTGGAAAACTGTGGTGTGGAAACCTGATGGCAGGGCTGCCTTGCTTTGGCATCTGCCGTTTGCCTCCTGGTGCCAGCAATGCTGTTGCACTGCAGGAATTCCCATCTGGGCTCTTGGAAGAGGCAGCAACAGCTGCACTAAGCACCCAGGAGGGAAGCCTTCAGTCCTCTGGCCTTCCTCTGGCCTCCCTTGTCTCCAAGCCCTCCCGCAGGTGTCTAGGTCTGCACACCTC